GGCAGCAAGTGTGGTGACGCTCTTGGGACAGCGGTCTGCTGGCAGCTTGCCTTTCCTAAAACTTCAGCTACCTTCAGTCGAAGGGACGCTCTAGTTGCCCAAGGCGCCTTTGCTTAGATGGAGGCTCCCTGGGTGACTGGCCTGAGCAGTTTGGCTAGTCACCTCCCCGTAATCCACTTCCTGCCCCACAGTCTTCCCGTGTGTGTTTATGGCCTTTTTTCTCCTCATTGAGTTGCAGTGGGTAGGAAGCTCATGGCATCAGTGACGGCACTGCCACTCTTGTCATCAGTGCCTGCACAGAAATGCCAGTGCCGTGCACCTGCTTTGTCATCGGCATCCTGGATTTTGAAAAACATCTCGTACTTTTTCTTTGCTGGTGGGCAGAACTTCTATAATTAGGCGGGAGCTGTGGTTTTAGGTAGCAGTTCAGGACATGGAGCCACACCTGCTCTTAGCAGTGGGTGAACGCGTAGTTTAGCCACGAGGGAGAAAACACTTATTACTGTAAGCTTAGTGTTGACCAAAAGTGTCATCTTGACAACAGTGAAAAGTGGAATGCTGACTAAATGCTACCGAGGAAGATGGAAAAAAAAAAATAGGGTATAGACAGTTTACGCTTTGAGGTTCCTACCAAACTTCATACTGGAAGTACTGTATCTGGAGTTACCCGTCCGTTAACTACTCCTTAACTTACCCTTCACGTCCGTTAACTACTCCTTAACTCAGAGCATTAATATAGCTATGCGTGGTCCACTTCTATCAATGCTCAAGCTGGCTATAATACTTTTGGAAAGGAGGTTAAAAATTCTGCTGAAACTTCCAGCAAGCTTAATGTGAAAGGAGATTTTTCTTGTGTGAAGCTTGGTATGAGGGAGGCCATTTCACGCAGACCCCTGCAAAGACACTAGGTGTGGGTGTCTGTTGGACGCTGTTGACCAATGCCCACCATGTGGGCTGTTGGTGTCTAAACAATGGGCACTGCAGTTTATGTCTAGTATTCTGAGCAGCCTAGCTCCTTAGGTACTACAGTTGCAGGAGATCTTAATGTTAGGATAACTTATTATCAGCCAAACAGTCTGAACATGAGCTCCCTGTTACAATTTTTTGGCTAAGTAAAAGCTGTGAGGCAATGTTACCTCTATATATGGCAGTAATGAGCCATTACCAGACTACAGCGTCCAATTCTGGTGTCTGTGCATGAAAAGGGATGCTGACAAATTGGAAAGGATTCAGAAAAAAACTGCAGAAGTATTCAGACATCTGGAAACTGGATTGTACAGCATGAGGTAAACCAAATAGGTTGAGCTGCTTATCGGGATGTGTCAAGAGGTGCTTGTATCAGATTATAACTATCCATGCAAGGAGAAGAAAGCAGCTTGTTAGCGGATGGGTGAAGCAAGATAACGGTGACAGGAATTTGAAAGTGGATGTTCTCACATTAGAAATAAAGCACATTATTTAGTGTACTGATGTAGCTGAAGAGTATGGGGTTGATTATGTGTCTTCAAAACTTGTAAAAATCTAAAAGCTGTAACTAAATATTAGCTGGGAAATAAAGGGTTCATATGGAAGGCCAGACCAGAGGTTTTATTAATATGCTTTAAGGCCTTGCTGCATGTGAATGGCATCACTAAATCCATATGCTTCCCCAGGAAAAAATACTGCTAAGCCAAGCTATGCTTACAAATTATCTTTTATGCCCTCTACAAACCTCATTAAATCCTGTGTGCTGTCTTGAAAGATATTTAAAATACAGGTATTAGAATGATCAGATTAACCTCATTTACACAGTAATAATTAGATGTATTTCAAAATGGCTAAGAAGTTTCCTAATATTCACTGTGATGCTAGTAGATAAGATTTGCATGACGTTGATTTTTTTCTTGAGATGGCATGCTACAGCTCTTTAACCTTTACAAATAATCCACTGGCTGCAGGGGTATTACCTGTCTGAATGAATATTGTAAATCATTCCCAGAATTTTAGAAAGGCAAATTTATCTGGTGTATGTGTAAGTGACTCTGTATACTTTTGGAAATTTGTTTTTGAACAGTCTTCCCTTAGGTGTTCTGTTTTTCCATTGTCTGCTTCAGCAGAGTTTGCTCTCTGCACAGGTGTGCTGCGGGTGCTTAGGAGGACTGATTAGTACCAGCTGACAAAACACATGGTTTGGTATCCCATGATACTGGACTGTTGGTTGGTTGCATAGATCTTCCATTTAATCCCTGGCTGCAGCTAGAGCTGCTTTTTAGTATTACTGCAATAGTGTTTTAAATGCAAAAAAACCACCCCACCAAACATGTTATTTGCCTAATCACATGACCTGCAAAATGAAAATAAAAATATATTCTACTACAGTAAATTGTAGTTAAGATACATACAAAACATTTTTTACGACAAATATTTGAAAAATTAGAATGTGTATGATGAATAGCTTCAGATACTGAAATTTGTTCCTTGGTATTAGAATGTGCAGCATTCCCATTTAAGTGAATGAGAATTCTGCCTGCATAAGCAGAACCCAGGCCCAAGTAATAACAGAATACGTGCTGCAGAAAGATCAGATAACTGTACTCTGGATTCTTTCCCAGGTTGTCTTTTGTCTACTAGTGTATTGGGTCTAGTTATTCACAGCTGAAATCAATGAGTGCATAGCATTGATTATAGCTGGAACAAGTCTGAACACAGTATTTGAGCAACAAGAAATGTTAATTTTATGAATTCTTAGGCCTATTTAAGATAAAGTCGATATGTGCATCTTAAGCTATATGGATCTGCTGATAAGTTTAATGGTAATTCATGGGTTTTTTTGTAAGATTGTGACTGTGGACTATAGAAGTGATAATGGTTGAATTTTATTTAAAAAATGTTACATTGCGTAGTTCACTATGATGGCTTAGTGTTTTGCAGTGTAGATCTGTTTTAGTAGAAAGAATTTGCCTTAACTCATTTTCTTTTGTTTTTCAGGAGAAGAAACGGAGCAAGTTCAGTAACTATCCCGTCTAACGTCTTACTGGTATCTTAAGGAATCTTACAAATACTTATTTTCAATTGAGAAAATGACTGCAGATATAGAAGAAAGTACAGGTTGCTGGAAAAGAATACCTGTCAAAAAGTGGAACATCCAATAGTTAATTTGGAAGTAGTATAAAATAAATATACCTGTTATGGTGCGATTCTGGAGTGGAGTTAACTCTATAGCACACAGGTAGCTCTCCAAGGAGGAAAAAGAAAAAAGAGCTTTCTGCTTTTCTAAATTATGGAAATTTTTTGGAAGACGTGGACATGGATTTTGAGCCTAGTCATGGTTTCATCGGAATTTCACAGTGACAAGAGACTTTCATATAATTCTCAAGGTAGGGTCTGACCTCTGTGGCTGACAAGAAGCATCTATTTTTGCATTGCATTTGGGTAGTATTTTCTAAACCATGTTTATGTAATTAATGAGATTATATGGGCTCTGCTCTTAGCTTTATCATGATTCATTGTCATGGAAGTTTAAATACAGCAAATCTGATTAAATTTTTTGTTTTAATTTTTCTGTCTCAATGTGGGGAAAGCCTTGCAAATTAAATCTAGTAAAATGTGGTACTCGATAATAGTTTAGAGACTTGCCATAACATTAACATGTTTTAGTCTAGGAAGTAAGGATCAACTCTTACTTCGATCCATTAACATTTATAGTTATAAATGAAATGAAGAGCCATTTACATTTTTTTACAATATAATACTTTTCATTACTACTGTTTCTATTCTTGCAGGTGGATCTAATAGCTTTTGTCTTTGAGTGATATCACTAGGAAGAATGTGTCCTTCTTAGGTTAGAATTTAGCCCCAAATGTTTACATATTTAGGTAAATAGGAAAAGACGTGTAGTTAAAAACTTTTGTGTTTCCAGTGACATTAAATTAATAGGAAACGGAACACATTTTTCTTGATGTAAAAAGAAAGAAAAGAATGTTTTATTTTATTTAATATCTTGTGTTTACCTGAAAATGGCTTTTAATCATGAGGGTGGTGACATTTAGCCACGTATGGTTTATGTTTATACTACTACTTGTTGTTTCCTGTTATATTTTCTTTTCTTCTATACCCACTCCCTGGACTGTCTTACCTTGTGATTACAAAGAGGAATTCCTGTCTTACCTTGAACACTACCAACTAACGATCCCAGTAAGAGTTGATCAGAATGGAGCCTTCCTCAGTTTTACTGTGAAAAATGCTAAACCCTCAAGAAGGAGGAGGAGCACAGACCCTTATGACCAAGAACTGGCAGCATCTAAATTATTTTTTAAACTTTCTGCCTATGGCAAGCACTTTCATTTAAACCTGACTCTCAACACAGATTTGGTGTCCAGACATTTTACAGTAGAGTACTGGGGGAAAGATGGACCGCAATGGAAGCATGATTTTTTAGACCACTGTTATTACACAGGATATTTGCAAGACCAACACAGAACAACTAAGGTGGCCTTAAGCAACTGCAATGGTCTGGTAAGTGCACATTGTGTGTTCTAGTATAATAGTGTGCTTGTCCCTTTTAAATTACAGAAGAACTTAATTGGCATATTTTACAGTTTTTTGAGTCCGTGTGGGAAGCCATCAGACGGGAAGGTGCAGAAAACTCCCAAAACCTGATCTGGGTCCTGGGGAAAAGTAGTAATCAGTTTTTCAAGCTTAATTTTAAGTACTAAGACCCAATTCTGTAGTCCTTTAGGAGGCAACATTTTCAGTGTTTACAGTGTCTGCACTAGGGCTGCAAGATTAGGTCTGTGCTGAGATCGTTGCAGGTTATAAAAATGTTGCAAGCTCGAGGGGCAGGGAGGAGGAAACAGTGGATCCTTCAGGATGCTGACTCTCTCCAGAGAGACATGGGTTGAACTGAACACTTGCTTGTTGTCTCTGAGAATTTGGGTTTAGAAATTTTGAGTAAATAACAGGGAAGAGGCTTTGCTTGCTGTAGAGGTGATCATTGCTATAAATTCAGAGAGTGAAGAGGAAAGTAGATCCTTTGGAAGTACCAGCATCAGAAAGTAATTACTTACCTTTTTCAGAAGTATTTTGTTTACAAATTGTAAACAGGTGTATTTAAAAGTAGGATTAGATATTTTCATCTCTTTTATTCTCATCTCATTTCACTGTTGATCTCTTGATCACATGATGGTAGTATGGAAAAAAGCTTCTTTTATTCCCAACAGAAATTAGAAAACAAATGCAAAAAATTAAAAAACAGAGTATTGAGTAACAAAGTACTAAAATAGAAGGACGTGACTAGGAAAGACTAAATCAAGAGCCAGTAATTTCTCTAGTAAAAGTATATGTATATATTATGGTTATTCATTCTGGTTTCAATTACAGTAGAATACTGGTCAATCTCCTTGTTAGGATTAGACAGATCTAACTAACTGCTAAGGGAAGAAAAAAAAAGATTACACAGACTTGCTAAACTAATTCCTATTTATCCTTGGAAGTGCTATTGAATAATGCATCCTGGGATGTTATATACAAACAAAAGCCAACTGCTTCAGACCAAGGTGGGTTGCGTTACACCCAGCTACTAGTTAAAATGGTGTTGCATTGAGTGTGGTATCACAGCTTAGTTAATACAGACTAGTAGTGGATAGGTCTGAATTAAGTACAATTTTCACTTTGGTTTTGCAGTTCCCGTATAGTAACTTTTTTGTCACAGTTACATAAACTCTTAAATTAATACAGTTAATCATTTTGCTTTTGAGTTCTCTTCAGCTAAAAATACTATGGAGACCAAATCCCCGCTTTCAGGACTCACTGCTAAAAGAGGCTGCATGCCTCTATATCTCCAGAGTTTCTGCCAGTTGAGGCACAGACTGGTTGGTCCCCTTGGAGCCTGCAGTCAGTGCCATGGTGCTCCCATGTCAGTTCCTCTCAGACCTTGGCCAAGGACTGAGCCAAGAATGCCTGCTCTTGCCTTAGACGACTGGTTTTCCTTTCATGTTAGGAAAACAAGAGTGGGGTGAAGCAGGAAAAGGGCCATGTTTTCCTATCAGCTTTGCCCATCTCTCGCTCCTCATGGCACTTCTTTTCTTCACAGAATTTAGCAGCATGGAAGGTGCCATGGTGAAGCAGAATCTTCTTATTTGCTACTGTGCTTTACACTCCGAGGTGACATTTAGCATTCCCATTGCTGCACGTTTTCCTTCTGCCCTGAGGCTTGCTCTTTTGCTGGAGTGAGGCCACCTGTTGTTCTGTGGTTCTGGGTTGTCAGTATGTTAACTTGGTGTTTCTGAGTTAAAATTTAGTTAACTTTAGTGTGGAATGCTTCCGAGTTAAATAGTCATCTTCAGTGCTTTTAGTTGTCATCAGCTCTTGCGTATTTCTTCCAGGTATTAAGGCAGCCTTAATCCCGTCTCTGGTCACCCCACGACTGGCACTCTCGAGTTCTTCACGGTCATGCCTCTTACTTGGGACTGCAAGTGTCAGGTGTCCACAGCATCTCCTAGAAAGGTCTAGTCACAAGCATGTGAGGCTCCTGTCATGCTCCAGAAGCAGCAGCACAGGTGACACAAGGCTCTTGCTCAGAGAGGCAGGAATCCTGCAGAGTGGTGCAGAGATAGGCTTGACTCGGTGTCATCCTCTACTGTACAGAAACTCCTCTGTCATCCAGTGTTGACAAGGCCTTCCAGAGCACTGAGTAGGGGAGTTACCACTTCATTCAGATAAATCCATCCCAGAGTTATTTTTAAATGATGATTCCTACTGATGCATATTTTGTTACACAGCTGCTGGTTAGAACATGTTTAATAAAGCAATTGGCAGTGAATGTTGAAGACAATATTACATGTTTTAGAATTAGTGATAGTTCAGAATATGTTGTGCTTAAGGCATTTGTTGGATTTTCCGATCTGATTGTTGGTCTGTAAGAGACTGCCAGTCACATTCTGCATAGTCCTTCATTAACATCTGTCTCAAAGCCAGTCATTTTAAGTTTAACTCTAAAACCAGTAGTAATCTTGTAACAGTGAGTGTTGCTCACAAGCAGAATTTAAGCATTCTATTTATTCCAGTTGTCCTGTTGGTCGTCAGTAATGCCAAATGAGTCAGATTTCTTCCCTTTGGTGAATATTTTGAGTTATTCTGTTTAGTTATTCAGAGTGGTCAGGTGAGACCATGGTCTAATTAACCTGAGTTGTATGACTTTGAAGAACACAATGAGTTCTAGTGGAAGGAGGGCTTTCTCTCAGTTTCATTATATTAAGTGATGAGAGGTCAGTTCATTTCCCTGTCACTGTTTCCTGTTTCAGCCTCTCCCTCTATATTTCTCATTACCAAGTGCCCCAGAATTACAGGCTGCTACTTACTGAAGTTGCATTCCAGCAGTTTCCGTCTGCTGGGCCCTGATTATGCTATAAATTGTCTGAAGTTACGAGAAAAGCTCTATAATCCAGTGAGCAGTCATGTGAGGAAATTGAAGGTCTTGTCCGGCAGGCTCCCTGGCTTCCAAAGTCATATTTACTTTAGTGGATGTTACGTTTGTGGATGGATTGCAGGTTTGGATTTCTCATGAAAGAGCCTGCAATGAGCAGCATTTTGGGGCTGTTGGATGTTGGGTGCAAGGCAACAAGGCTGAGGCATTGCCTAAGCTGAGTACGTCATGCTGAAGGAAAAAAAGGGAAGAAACAGTGGTAGATTGACTGAAGAGAGTAGATCTTCACCTCAAGGGAAAGAAGTTTGTCTAATTCTGAGGGGAGCAAGTCTTAAAGAAGAGTTTTGGAGATCATAGTAGTGGAATTGAGCAGAAACCAAACTTTTTGCATTCTGATCCACCTCTGTCAGGTGTCAAAGCTCTTAATTGAGTGCTCAAACAAGTTTTCCACAGTAGCAGATTTTCTCATTTGGAGCTGAAAAGCCCAGTAGTGCGAAATAATTTAAAATGTGTAGAAAGTGATTATTATTAGGAAAGTGAATGAGAGGTGAAATCACATTTTGAGGCTACTGTGGTTCCGAGGAAATGTTCAGTGTAAAAGGCCAAGTATTTCCATGGCATGTGAAGTTCCATGCACTGAGTAACATTTGTGCTGGGTAACACAGATGTCTTCATCCAAACAGAAATGATAAGAAAGCACAAGAAGTAGGCTGTGACTAAAAGCATGACCTTACTTGGTTAAACAAAGAATTATTTTGCTGGAAGACTTCATGTTTGTTTCATGTATTCCTAAATTTGTATGTGTATGAATTATTCATATTCTTCTTAAATTAGCTCATTTGAAAGCTGATTCTACCATAAAGAATGCATCTACTTTCATAGATTATAAATTGCATATAGTACAGTATTTTTGAGTCATATGTAAAGTAATGTCTAATTTATAAAATAATCTCTAAAGATCAGAAATTATATTGAAAAGGATTTAGTGATAGATCAGTGTCTTTGAAGTTCTGTTTGGTACTAATATGTATTTGCAGTATAGGCTTAGTATTCAGAAAATTACATATAAGCTGTCCCTGTCCTAGTTTTGTCGTGTCTTTGGATTCCGTGATGTACTCTATCAGGCCAGATCACTATTTTTTTCATCTTTAAGAATACAGTAAGCTAATGCAATCTTCAGTCATAAAAGCACACTGAAGTGTATAGCCAGCTGTAGACATACTGAACAGCACTGACACATTTTCAGAAGTTTCCATTACTAGTACTTTATATTAAAAATGGGTAAAGCATAAAGTCTAGAAAGATTCAAGGCATGGAGAAATTGTAAAACAGTGGTACTGTGTGAAAAAGGCACGCACTTACTTGTCCTCCATAATTCAGTTTGCTTCTGTGACTGATGGACATCCCCCATTTGAAGGAGGTTAAGGCCCCAGCTGGACAGCCTGACAGAAGAAGATTCCTTTTCACAAATTCAGGGGAACTCCATGTGGATTCACAGACTTATCTAAGCATGTCAAACTGCTGGATCCAGGCCTTACCTGTGTTAGCAGGAGTTGACAGTCTGTAGTGGGATTGGTTAACACAGGACCTCAGACTGTTTTAGATAATAATCTTGGGAATGTTGCTTGGAGTAGCCTGCTTGGGGCATTCAGCTTGTTTCTTAAAGTCATGATATATTGTCAGAATCTTTTGCTGATCATTGCTATGTCTTAATGATATTTCTTATGGTTTGGAGCAGAAGTTTAATTTACAAACTGTTCAAATACAATAGCAAAACTAAAGAAAATTAAAATTAATTCCTTTTAATGCTTTAAAAGGACATTTTTTCCAAGCTTCTTTTCCAAGTGAAATTGTGTTTTGCTCATGTAGTAGATTCTAAGCCAAAACCAAGGTTTAGAATGTTGATTTGGATATAATAGCATAATTCCCACTATTTATTAATCAGGCATTGCTGAATGCACATACAAAGGAAGTATCTCTAGCCACATGAATTTTCTCATAATTAGAATAAATGCTGGTTGTCACTGACATAGGTACTTTTTAAGTACAGAATTCAGAGTGCTGATTAAAAATCAGTCACTGTAATTCACCAAGACAACTTGCATCAGTTCAATATTGGAAGAACAGTTTTGTTTGCAAGCAAAATTAATGTTAGGTTTAAAATTGTATATGTATGCTGGACTTAGGTGAAGGGCATGTGGAGGGCAAGGGCGTTTCCAATGTTTATCAGATCACTTGGCTAGCTGCAGCAACTGACCACATACATGTTTTGACTACCTGGTGGTGGGTGTAAGTTACAATTTATTTGCAGTTCCTCAACGAAATGTTATTAAAATCTTGTCTTTTCTTAAACCACCACAGTGTTCGGGCAGATGAGATCAGATGTCAGCTATGCATAGGAAAAATTAGTGATACTCTCCTAACCTTTTTCACTGTTGGTACCTGAAGGAACTATGATCATGGTTTGCAGACATTTGTAATAGTTTTTGTGTATTTGCTCCTGCAAATACACAAACTTGTATAGAGAACTAATGCTGCAATTAAGTGTTTATGGCATCAGAATTGACTCGCTCCCACTGAGGTCATCTCACTGCTTAAAACTATCGGTTTCAGTATCTGATATAAATGTCTCATTCATGCTTAGACTTGTTAACCTGGCTGGACTTGAGTACAGACATGAAGGATGTTTGCTCTGGTGTAATCAGATTTAGGTTAAGACCAGCTCTGTTGCAGAGACAGAGCCACAGGTTGGATGGTACCTCTGTCTCCTCAGGCTTGGCATGAAGTTGACGGCCTGATGGTGTTGGCCAGAACCACTCTGCAGGACTCCCTTCCTGTGGGAACATAATACCAGAGCTTATAATGGCTCAGGATTAGCTTGAACCCAGATGTCTGACATCCAGACTGGATGCAGTCCAGACTGTCAAGGTTCTTTCTGCACATCTGGCAAACCCAGTTACAATTTGGTTTGTATTTTCAATACTATTTAAGCAGTAGTGTACCAGCAAATGATTTATTTTCTAGTAAAATCCTAGACTCCAAGTAACAAGAAGGCATTGTGAGGGGAATTTGATACCCACATCTTCCAGGTGAATATAGACCCTGATGTTACCTTCTTGAGGAAATAATTGAGTTCATAATGAAAAATACCACTGATGAGGAGCACGTAGTGTTATAGTCACTATGTAAGGAATCTGTAATTGAAAGCTGCACTGTGTTCATATGTGTATTTTTCGAAATGTATAATAGGGTTATATTTGGAAAACACTGTTCTTTCTGATGTGTTATACAGGACTCTTTATTTTGTAAGTTTTATGTTGTTACTGAAATCCAGTTGTTCCAGGAGTGAAGAACAGCAGGCTCTTGATGTACAAAACAGTAGCAGGATGGGAGCTTTGACCAAGAGTGCAATGGCAAGCCCTGATCCTAGAAACAGCTTCAGGATATTTAGAGCAGATATGGAGCAAGTGGTCTTATGGGTGATCAGAGGTCTCATCTGAGGAAAAAGATACCCCCTTTAAAAAAGGTCTCATGCACCGTACTTGCTTTACAGATCAAAGGTGTTATAGAAATTTGTGATGCATCAAATCAGGATATGAATGGAGAAGTTCCTGCTTCTAGTCTCCTACCTGATGACTAGCTCCTTATCCTATTGTAGAAAGTTCATACATTCAGAATTTTTTGGATACAGATACCAGATTTTTTTTATTTAGCAAATATAGGTGTAGGAGTCTGTGAGGGCTTATTCCCCCAATATTTCTATATCCAAAGGGCTCCCAAAACTGGATTTTCTGCTGAAGTTCGGTTTTAATTGCTGAAGGTTCAGGAAATTGCATAGTTAGCCTGAAATCTCCCCTTTCTTCCATAAACCACTTCCTGTTTGGAAGAAGCTGAGTTCACAAATGTGAAAGTTATGAGAACAGAATATCTACTATTCTGTGCTGCAGTAGGAGGAAAAAAATGTTCATTTGTCATGAAGAATGAGGTCTAGTGCACAGTCTGCAACAACTCGGATTTGCCAGATTTGTGGCAAGACCTTTTAAGGAATAAATGCTTTGTAAATAGTGTATCCAAGTTAATATTAATAATTTGATTTTAATAACTAGCTCAGTTTTGGGATTAAGCATCTGGATGTAAAAATGCTGAATGGTTTCCCTGAATATACGTTCTAAAATTAATCCTTCATGCTGTTTTTCTTTGATGCAGCATGTGGCTTTAAGCATCTACCGGTGTAGCATTATAGAGGGATATTGGTCTCGCTATTTGAGCAAGGCCATTTTGGCTTGGCATCACTTTTAATCAATATGAATCATGTAGTTTTGGAACATCTCTGTGAAGAGATATTTGTCATATACCAAGAATATCTCTTGCTTTCTTACCACATCCACCAAAAATGATGGGAAAGAACTCCAGAAACTGGGATATTTTTATTCTTTTCTCGTTGTGTTGCTTCTAGGTGCTTACTCCTGCTCCCACTAGAATCAGTGGAGGAGAGCTGGCTTATGCATTGTTTTCTGTGTGGGCTTATAGTTGTGGATTTCTTCACAGAGATAGATGATAGTAAAATGTTGTTTAAAGTTAAGCTTTTAAATAGGAGTTTTGTATTGTCTCTTGTAAGTTTTTATTTTCTTATTTTCTTCTTTAAGCATGGAGTCATTGCTACAGAAGATGAAGAGTATTTTATTGAGCCTTTAAGGAATATAACAGAAGATTCCAGTAACTTTAATTATGAGAACGGTCATCCTCATGTTATATACAAAAAATCTACCATGCACCAGCAACATCTTTATGATGACAGTCACTGTGGAGTCTCGGGTAAGTGCGTATAAGTGTCATTCCTTTTAAAAAATTTGTAACTTAAGATGTATTTTAAAATCTTGCTTGGTTCACATGTAAGACAATGGAGAATGTAGCAATGGGAATCCTCCTTTTGGGTGATACAATATGCCCTGCTGAAAAGTAGTTTTGCTTTTTTTTCAGATTCAGATCGAGAGTATAGTGTCTTTCAAAACTGAGACACTGCGAGTAAGTCTTGTTTTATGCCTGTGTTGTGTACAGTGGTAGAAATGAGCACAGGCTTCCTCAAAATGTGCTATAAATCTACTTTGTTCCCCAACTGCAAAGCATGACTGAGTGACTGAGTATTACAGCTCAATGTTTAGTAAGTGTTCCATCTCATGTGAGGGAATTTGACATACATTAAATGTGTTAGTATTACGATCAGTAATACATTTGGAACTGGAGTTCACATCTATCTTGTTTACAGAGGTTTGTGGTGTTTTGATACTGGCTTTTGGTTCAGTGGGTTAACTTTATTGCATAGTAGTTGAATATGTGATTTACAGGTGCCTTATGGGAAGGGTTATATAGTTTTGATTGAGAGATATTTTCCTTGTAAAGCAGTTTTAACTTCCACAGATACACTTTTCAAGTACTTTTTGGCATGATTTTCACTTGCTTAAACTGAAGCTGAAAACTAACTTCTTGACAACAGCGTGTTCTAATCTTCTCAGTTGTTTATATCTCAGAAATAGCTTGTTCTTTAAAGTTCAGTCCTGGACAGTTGTATTCCCTGATATTCAGTGCACAGGGCAGGCTGACAAATACTAATCTTAAAATAATGTCACTGTTCATGATGTAACTTATTTCAGCTTCTTTTGAAGGTTCTAAGTTCTACTGGCACCGACTGACTAAACTTACAGTACAGATTGTCTACAAATGCCCATGCTTGGGAGACAGTTTTTCTCTGTTTCAGTTAAGTGTGTTTAGGGTATGTCACACTTCATGTATGTAACTTCTGTTTTAGTTTGGAAGACTTATTCCACCTACATGCTTCTAATACTGCAAAACAAGTTTTCTAGCTATTACTGCCTGCTGACTGTAAAATAAGAGTACTAATGTATGGTCGTTTTTAGGGAAAGCTGTCACTTAAGCCTCTTGAAGTAAGTGAAAGGATTATGAAATGTAGGTTGATGCAATTTTTACCATTATTATATCCCTAGAAAAAGAAACGATATTGGCCTCTGTCAGATGTTATCTTCTAGATTAATGCTTAGTCAGTCATTCCTCTCCAAGTGAGGATGAAGCAGTGGCAGCTAGTTTGGCCAGGTTGCATTCAGTCATTCTGTCAGTAACTGTTGAATGGATCATAGGTTGATCAGAGCTATGCATCCTGCAAGCATTTTTTGTGAAACATGCAGTAATCTTTAGCATTTATTCCTTTGTATATTTGATGCTGCTGTTGTTCTTGTAAGCTCCTGTGCATTTCCTGAGCTTTCATATCTGTCACTTCCAGAAGTCCTTAATTATTAAAATACTAAAGCACTGCTTTTTTTAAAGCCTGAGACTACTATCAATCTCATTGATCTCAGTTTCTCCTTTTCCTGTTGTTCTGTATACTGCTTCCACTCCATGCAAATTTCTGAAAAAATTTACTCTTCCCCAGAACCCCAAGGTCTTACTTTTCCAGATGACGTTCTCTTTTAGTGTTCTCCTCATGGGTACCAAAACCTTTTAAACTCGTTTTCTGAGCACTGTTGCAGCTTTATCCCAAAGTGACATGGCATCTAAAGCATCCCCCAGAATACCTAAACAGTAAAATAAAATATTAATTTTAAGTTTCACAGCTTTCAGACTCTAGGACCCAAGTTTACAGTAATCTTTGGGGCATTTGACTTGTTTTGGAAGTTTTGAGCAGTCCAATTTTGTGTTCTAAAAAGCAGTTGTAATAAACCTGTAACTGCCTTTTGGCAGTGTATAATTTATTTTGCCTGGAGACTGATTTTAGCTTTACCTTCAGAACATTTTTGCCAGTATAATATGGTGGGAGGATTCTGCTTGTGTAGCTGTGCCACTATTAAAGGTCTGGCAAGTTTCCCCTGCTGTAATCTAGACCTAAATTTATTGTGTACTTGTTCTGTATCGGGGAAGTGGTTAGGATTTTGAAGTGTTGATAGAGACGAGGAGTGTTATTTCTGATGTTTCAGAGAGAAATTGCAATGATTGGTAGAAAGTGAGGTGGGCAATTTGGTGAAAGATTGATCAGAATTGGTTGGGATGAGCAAGTGATGGACTACTTCATAGTAGAATTATGGTGGCTAATACAAGAGAAGAATTGGAGAGGCAGGGAGATTCAGATAAGAACATGGGATAGATTTTCATAACCTAAACTAGATTTTAAGCAGTTAGGCATAAGAACATTTAAAAACCGAAAAATGTTAAATTACTATTTCATGTATGTATCATCACCCAGTTAACTATGCTTTGTTAAATATAGTTGAAATTGTTAAGGCCTTGGTAAGAAGTTGGCCACCGTCCAATTTCAATTGCTTCAATGGGATTTGAGGCCACTGGGTTACCTTGCAGAATGCTGTGTTTGGACAGGATTGCGAAACAACAAAAGTTGACATGTGAAAACTGCGTAGTGGCAGATTATTTAGGGATGGCTCTACTATGTCCTGCTTTATGTGGTGGTTTTACTCATGCCAGACTTTACAGTCGGTGTATTCTAAAATGAAAAAATGCTTATGTATACATTAAATGATGGTGTTAAAACAGTAGGAAAAAACCAGCACATAATGCTTTGCTTCAAAATATTCCCATAGTTGCAACTTACATAAGTAGCTTTCTGTTGATTTTGAGATCTTCTGTTTGTGTTCTCTCCTCTCTCTCCACCTTCACACTCACCTAACATCTTTAAAGGACTGAATTAGGAAAACTTGGGTACCATAATTGTGAACTCCATGTCTACACACGTTTGGATTTCTTTCCATTTGCAATTTAAAACCTAATTCCCTGCATTTGTAATCATTATTTTGGGATTAATTACAGTGTTTTTCTGTAGGTTTTTTTCCTTTCCATTTTTGCTTTTTTTTACTTCCCAGTAGCTATGTTTGATGTTAATGAAGTTTTAATCTTTTTCTTTTTTTAATCTAGGAATATGCTGGAAAAATGACATAACTTGCCACAGAAGTATTTTTAAGTGTATTGCAAACTTTTATTGACATGTTCTAGCTTTTTAAAGAAAATTCAGTCAGCATTATTTAGTGTTTTTAAGTAAAACAGCATAAGCATTGATAGATCCTGGAGTGTGAGCTTAAGAACTCAGGCTTGTTTCCAGCTTTCCCATTACTTTGAGACCAGCTGAAGCCTAAGCTTCTCATCTGATAAGAAAAGGAGAAATGTTTGTTTTTGTGAAGTCTTCTGAGACCTTTGTTTGAAAGATGCTATCAAGATGAGTACAACATCATCTTTTCTTTTTTTCTCTGAAAGTTTTCTGCATGAGCTCATCAGCTTTCAAATGTTTAGAATAGATTTGCATCTTTGAATGAAAAATTAAGAATGAATGTGGAAGCAGTGTTGCATTTCTGAAGTACATCTAGCACTCCAAGAGCATCAGAAATCCTCAAATGTCACCATTTGTTATTTGAAAATGAAGAGTGGATTTTTAAAAATTTTAGTACAGAAGCTGTCAGAGAAAATTCTAGACATTCCTAAATCACTGCTTAAGTGAGATGAAAGTCTTTGAACAATTAAAACAACTTTGAATTTCCTACAATAGAGATGAAAACCAGAGAGAAGCTTAGTATTCATTATTGAATCCTCAACAGGCTTTAATACTTAATACCATTTTTTTAGGATGGATTATACCCATTGCAGAACGAGGAGAATTTTGTTACTGACATTTTTTCAACTGCCAGGTTTATTTTCATTTTTTGACTTTTCTAAAATATGCACCTTTTAAAGCCAACACTGTGGCCTCAAAAATTGTGAAACACTGCAACAGTGGGAATGCTGAAGCTTTATATTCCTGGTTTTGTCCTGAACATACATTCTTTGCGTGTAGTTATTGCTCTTTGAAAATAGCATGCTTAGTTAATTGCATGAAGCATTGCTTTTTCATGGAAGGTACTGGTCCTATCTCAACTCATCCTAGCTGAACCAGTTTTAGTAGAGGTAAGGATGCATCTCAGAAATTGCTCCCTTGAGCAGTCCTGTTCAGACAATTATAAAAGTGTCTAACTGTTACCTTTATTATGTTCATCCATAACTAGCAAGAATAGCTTAGATATTTTGAAATCCTACTTAGGTAAAACCAGACTAACAATATACTTTGATAAACTTAAGGCTGACATCTGTGTGGGCCTTTGTGGAAAAGAGATATTTAATACACACAAAAATGCCAGTTTTGCAAGGAAGGGCAGGTACAATTTTGTCCTGAGGACAGGAATTCAAATTCAAATTAAGCTTGTAGTGTTTGTTTTGCTGATAATTACAGCTGTTTGCATTTTTAATAATCAATCTCTTGCATGCAATAAATTTTTTTCCATATATTTACATGAAACAAGTACAGGAATCAACATATTGGAATTAAAATTAGTGTTAAAAATAACTATTGCAATTATCTCATGTTAGGCCATTTTAAGCTTCCAATTATAGCTAATTCTTGAGGCAGATAAAACATAATCTGATAGCTTTCTGAAGAGAAAGTTAATTTATTTGGCCCAAAACCCATTAGGCATGTAAGCATAATTGCCTGATAATTAGAGTTTCACAGGAGGGAAAAAGCTTTTTTTGGTGCCTTATCAGCGAGTTTAATTCCTTAGTATATTTTGATATCTTTTACCTTAATTTTGAGTATTTGGTTACCAGTACGTGTCTTCCAAATGTTACAGCTGTCTTGTTCTTACCTTTAAAATTCTGAAGTGTGCTTGTGGTTATTTACAACTAATTTTAGTATTAACATAGATGTGCAGAATATTATCCTAAGTCAAGTTAAGGAGAATTGAGAATATTAGAACTCGAAGTTGGTTTTGCATTATATAAGTATTTTAAAATAAAAAAAGTTTAGATAATGAATTTAATTTTTTTTTGCCTCAAGAAAGACTTCATTTTAGAAGCTTGAAGACAGTAATCTCAACATAGAACAGCTGCATTTGAATGACTTTTACTAGTGACCCCTCTGAAGTGTTGAATTATTTTGGTTCCTAGAAGACCTCACAAGAAGTGGTAAACCTTGGTGGATGAGTGATGCATCTGCTTTTCCAACTTCATTTCCAGTCAATGACACGTTAAGTAGTCATAGTCGACAGAAGAGATCAGTAAGCCTTGAACGGTTTGTGGAAACGCTGGTAGTAGCAGACAAAATGATGGTGGGATACCATGGTCGCAAAGACATTGAACACTACATTTTGAGTGTAATGAATATTGTAAGTTTCATCCCTCTCTGTGTTCATATCAGTATGCATGTACCGAAATGATAAAGCAACTAATGAATGAAGCTTTAAAATATGTGTCAGCTTGCAAGAATTACTAGTTGAAATATGGCAAATGTTAGCATCGTGGGAAAAATGCAGTACTGTGTCTGTCAAGAAGTACACTGTGATTACTTTTAAATTGCTTGTCTTTAATTTTAAATTCATATGATTACATTTAGATTATACAATTCTGTTCTGTTTAAGTCAAGAGTCTAAATGCTCCTTGTGCTGGATGAATTATGAAACAAGGTATAAACAGTTTTGATTGAGAAGTGTGACCCAAGAAGTTTGTTTTACTGAATGGTCATTTTTTGGTCCAAAAATAACTCTTATTCAGGTGATAATTATAATTAACATTATGAAATTACACTGAATGAGAAAATAGGTTAATTTTTAACCATTTAGGAAACAAGTAGTGATTCTTGTCTGACTTTGTGCCTTTTCTTATTTTCTGGAGGTCAGGTTGCCAAACTTTATCGTGATTCCAGTCTAGGAAACGTTGTGAATATTATAGTGACACGTTTAATTGTCCTCACTGAAGATCAGGTAAGAGCTGTTGTGCTAAGCTTTATTTCCCTGAAATACAAGTTACATTATTCTGTAACATAGATTTCATTTAATTATTGCTTGAAATGGCTGCATCTGAGTACAAAACCTATGTTGTAATCTTTCCCTACTTTAATCAAGATGAAACAGTTCAAAGGAATATTTCTCATTTATCATCTCAAAGATATCTGTTCTTACTTCAGGTGAATATTAATACACCTTCGGGGATGTCAGTTTTATTTTTAGATCTGTATTTTGATATTCTGATTTTTTTGTATTGACATAATCATTATTAAAGTTGGAGCAGAAAGAATGCCTGTTCAGTAATACACAGCTGAACTTGGGGTCAGATTTTACAGAGATAAAATTTGGCAAGAAGAGTTTATTCCTAGAAACCACTGCTTCTAATTATAGTCCCATTTTAGTTTTCAAAAGGCTTAACAACTGACCTTAGTAATTTGTTTGGAACATTTCTGGTATGCATGTTGTATTGCAGCCAAACTTGGAGATAAACCACCATGCAGACAAGTCCCTCGATAGCTTCTGTAAGTGGCAGAAATCCATTCTCTCCCACCAAAGTGATGGAAACACCATTCCAGAAAATGGGATTGCCCACCATGATAATGCGGTTCTTATTACTAGGTATGGTCATTATAAGTATTGTGTTTATTTTATTTTATTTCTGTAGCTTTGTTGTTCTTACCAGAGAGAGAGAGAGAGAGAGGCTAGTTGTAAAGTAATATAATTGGTAGGTAATCTTAAGAGGAGGAGAATAAATAGATGGCTTGTCTTGAATATATCGGACTGTTAAACTGCAGATTAAGAATTTGGAAAAGTAAGATCTGCAAATTACTTTCTGCTTCTGTTATTTTTACTTCATAATTGCCACAGATGGATCCTATTGAACGTTTTATACTTCATAATTGAAGATAATTCATAAGATTATGGAGAACAAAACAGTATGGGAAGTGTTTTGTTAACCATACATGTTTTTTATAAGAATTTCAAGCCAGAACCTCAACTACTGTAATAGTAATTTCTGCTGAAAAACAGGTTCTTGCAGATTCAGGCAATGTGAGAATCTGCTTTGTAGCTGTTTTGATTTATTATGCTTAAGATGAGAACTGACAGTTTTAATAGGTAGTTTCAAAGCCTGCATATGTCCCCATTTGTTTGGTTCTATTCCACCATTACTGTGATAAATTCAACAAAGCTTGCACTGTAATCTTGCAATCCTGATAAACGTATTTCTGTTCGTCCTTTGTAGTTATGGGTAGGCAACTGTACTGTATTAGGAGACCAGTTTCCCCATTGTTTAAGGACACTATTCATTCTTTTCTGTTTCCTTGAAATAGCAGCGGGTGCAGCAGCACTGATTTGGATTAGGATCTTTTTATTATAGCTTCTGCTTTCCAGGACAAATTCTGTACTACTTTGTGACCTATTTGTGGAGTCATTGTGTTCACTGCAGAAAATGTTTAAATAGTGATTAAAATAATGGATCTTTTCTGGAATTTTGCATAAAAGGTGTAAAAGTGGCTGGGTTTTTTTTGGATGAGTGTTTTTAATTGGCTTTGTTTTGTATAAGGAACAATATTTTGAGAGGAAAGAAAAGCTGATGAAACACTTTTATGTATTTTTGCATTCATATTTCAAATATAATTGTTACATGTGGTCATTAATACAACATAGTAACAACTGGAATGATTAAATGCCAGAGTGATTTAGAGAGCTGTTATAGTCCAAAAAGTTCTAAAAAAAAAAAAAAGTCTCTAATAAAAATAAATGGAATTGCATTCAAAATAAAACAGTTACATTCTAAGATCTTGATTTTTCACAAAGGCCTTCGTTTATGCTCAATTTTTTATATACAAGTAATTCCTTCACTAGGGCTGCTCACGTGAGATTAAATACATCGTTACAGCTGTGCTACACATCAAGCTTTTACTGGTATAATTTAGGCAGTGAGTGAAAAAGCATAATCCATAGGTGGTATGGTTGTGTCAGTTGAAGCCCCCCAATATGTAGATATAAGCTGCATTGGCAACACTGTATTTTTACTGTTATGGCTGAATAACTTGATGTTTTGTTAGTGTTATTCTGGCACTGCAAAACACAGTTGTTTATTTTCTTTCACTGTTGTGCTTCAATAAATTTTATTACTGTATGTTCTGTACTGGCTTCCCTGTTCTGGTAGGATGTTCCCAGCATAGTTACGAACAATTCTGTGTTCCAGACAAAGGCTTAAGCCAGTGCTAACTTGCAAGGCCTTTAACTGCAAAAGGAGCAAGTTTTCAGAGCATGTGAATAATACCCATTGAAAATTAACTTTTTAACTTTTAAAAAGGACATCAGAGTTATTTTTATAACTTGCAAGTTTAGTGCTAAGAAGTTTACACTTCTAAGTATATGCCTATATTTTACATCAACAAAGTGCCTCAGTGTAGTGTCTTGAGGCTAGTAATATCTACCTTTACAAAGCACTGCTGAACTTTTAAGTTCAGTTATATATGCTTTCACGACAGAATGCTTGTATTCATTTATTTACTATAATAATTGTAATTTATAAAAATAATCCCAAAAGCTACACTAATCAATTTTGAATGGATTAATCAGGCTTTTACTGAAACTGCTGGCTATTCTGGCTCTTAGTAATAAGTGAGCATGTGTGAGGAATGGATTTTTCTTCTTTACATTGGAATGAGTAAAGATAAATCTATATTAGTATAAACATGTAAATCCATTAACTTTAAACAATTCTAAATTAATTACTGAAATGATAACATGCTTGTTCTCATTCTATTTTGGATCTCTCACCTGAGGAACCAGAGTTAATGCATTACATGTGAAAGAGGAGGGTATAGCTACAGTGCTTTAAACTCCTAAAGTGTTGGAGAGGTCTTTAATAACCTTTTCTACCTGAAGGAATTTGAGCCTATACTAGCAAATATTAAGTTATTTTTTAGCCACTGTAATAGTGTTTTGAAAGCAGTTTCCTGAATCTGTGCCACTGATGCTACTCTGCTCTGTATGGGCTAATTACATTTTCATTGAATTTGACACTGGAACCATTTTTGGTCATTGTGTGTGTTACTATCTTATGGAAAGTAGGAAGGTTTCAGTTCAACCTTCTGAATAGTTTCGTGTTGATCAAAACCAGATTTTTCAGTAACTAACTGATGTATTTGAAAGTATTACCTAGTCCTAGCTGAGTATTTTAAGTTTGCAGCTACAACAATCTCTATCTGAGAAGTGGGACAAAGTTGTTAAGAAGAGGAGTCGTCATCTTCATCCTTGCAAATGAAGACAGCACCTCAGCTTTTCTTAGCAACAGATGGCTTTCCTCCATGATCCTTTCAAAGATGGCATGCTCTGATCTGGGAAAAAAACAGTATTAAGGGTGCTGATTCCTTAGGGGTGTCTGCTTGACCGATGTAGACAGACTTTTGTACTCTAAATTAGCTGTATGCTAAAACCAGGTAACCTTACTGGCATGGAGGTATGCTAAACTAATCTAGGAGACCCATGGAGATGTGACCATGCCTGCTAAGCCACTGGTGTTTGGAGAAGAGCCTAGCTGTGTTCACTGTGCCTGGTATATGGGCTTCTCTGTCATGGGCCTGTAGGTAGTCTGCAGAACTTACTTTACTAAGTGGGTAGGGGATTGCAGAAAACTTCTTAGCTGGTAATAAAAAATAAGGCAGGTAAGAGACTGCTCCAAGAGTGTGATTCCCAATCAGAAGAGCAAAATTGTGGTGATGGAAATATGATATTACTTGCACAAATATGGTAACAAAAATAATGTGCATTCTTAACTCACTGTGGTGAGTATTGGGACTGGTTTAGCTTCTTTAATCCTGCCTGACTTTATGCTGTAGGCATAAAAATGATAACTAGCAGGAACATTTCCTGATACTATTGTGAGCAGAAGCATCTTCCTTCAGTTTCACTGGGGAGCCTTTGAGCGTCCCTGCAATTAGTAAGAACTAGATAACCTTCTTATAATGGGAACTCTGGGGTAGGTAGTAGGCCTTAGAGGGCTTATTACAGACTCTCGGCATATTGGGTGACTTTGTATAACAAGAACAGCAATTACCCAGACACTGATAATACTTTTATGTATGTTACTGTGCTTTTGCTTTCTTTTATTAATTTACAGAACTTTTGTTTGTATTTTCTGAGTCTTAAGTGCTTAGTGTTATTTCAAGATAAGACTGTGACTGAATTAATGCTCTATAACAATAAGACCTGTTTTTTTGTATAGTGCTCATTCTTCGAAATTTCACCTAGAATTTTTCTGTTGGAGATGGTATTTAAGCCTCAGACTTTAATATTTTATCCTGTAATTGTCCAAATTGGGTTCTTGGGGGCACATGAAAGTAAAATACTAAGCAGACAGGTTTTGATGATGAAGCTGATTAATAGTGTAATGCTGTTAAGACAATGTCTTTCTTTTTTTTTCCATTAAGTGACTTTGACTTTAGATAAATCTAGTGAATCCTTAAAATCCTTCGTACTACAAATTAATAAATGTAGGAGAAAAACTTGTATGATTCTCTTATCTCAAGTCTTTTTGTAGTCTTTGCATTTGGTTCTTGTATTCCTGCATTACGGATGTGATAATCTCACTTTTTAGCACAATGTTTACTTCTCAGATTTGTCATTTTAAGACTCAGTGTAAGTTCTGAGAGTCTCTGTATATTCTCACTTGTGCATCCCATCCCCAGTGTAGAAGTATGTTAGCCTTTTTGAAGTCAGTTCTTGAAGTTCAGCAAATTGCTGATTTTTTTTTTTTTAACTTCCATTGGTAGCCTGCTTCCTCTTTTTGTTACTTTACCTTAAAAACAGAAAACTTCAGAGGTCACATGTATGCTATGGTATTGTTACTTATTTTTGAAGAATACTTAACCCAGCTTCACTTCCATTTCAATCAATTGCTTCCTTCTCTTCATCTTACAGATCATAAAGTAGGAATAACGGAACTCCTCAGCAATAATACCTTGGTTAACTTGCAAGCATATACATTATGAACAAAACTATTCCTTGTCCTGTGCCCCTGCACAGAATGGTAAGGGCCAGAGGTTTGCATTCTAGGTTATGCTTTGTAGCAGCAGTGGAGGAGAAGATGACAAAATTTTTAAAAATACCTTTTTTTTTAAACACCCTGAGTTCTCTAGTACTACATTTCTATATAGCTCAAGATGGTTAGTTTGATTTGTCCGGGTACTAAATAGTTGTTTTTCCAAATAATGTGTGACTGACTCTGTAAACTTTGCAGCAATGGAGTCTTTGCCTCCTGGGAGGGGAGATCCAGAGCTATTCATTTGCGTCCTGGTATGTCAGTAGATCAAGTAAAAGGCATTCCAAACAGCCCATAGAGAGGAAAGTTTCAGGGGGAAGCTGAGATGCCTGTGTGTATCTCTAAAGGGGCAGAACTTGGTCTTTGAGATACAAATGTTTTAAACAGAGAAACATTTGAAACCTTACTTGCTTAAAGAGATAGTACTTCTTAAAAGTTGTTGCATGAAATGTCATCTGTTGGTAGCATCACATATCGAGAGTTTGGTTTGTATTTTTTTAAAAGAAACCCAAATCCACTATGCTTGACAAAAGCCTCAAGATCTCTTTTGATGTAGCTACAG